TAAGAACAGTTTAATAATTGAAATAAAGTTAATAATAATAGGATAGGGAAAAGAGCAAGAGGACTAAAACCCAAGACAGACGAGTGATGCACAGTACAATTGCTCACCACCCGCTGACCGATACCCAGCCCATCCTGAGCAGCGATGGGTGACCCCTGGCCAACTCCCCCCCAGTTTCTATCCTGAGCACCATGTTCTGTGGTGTGGAACATCCGTCTGGCTAGTTTGGATTGGGTGTCCTGCTCCCTCCTAGCTTCTCGTGCCCCTCCTCACTGGCAGAGCATGAGAGACCGAACAGTCCTTGATTAGAGTCAGTGCTACTGAGCAACAACTAAACATCGGTGTGTTATCAGCACTACTCTCAGACTAAAGCCAAAACTCAGCACTGCACTAGCTACTAGAGAGAGACTTAACTCTATCCCAGCCAAAACCAGGACAAGGAGATAGTGGCTTTCCCTTATTGCTTCCTGCTCAGAAGCAATGTGTATAGAATTTCCTTGTCCTTGAGATGCTATAAACAATCACTCTATTACCTTTGTAACAATCTTGCTTGCAGTTTATGTCATTACATATATTTCAAATCCTCAGATTCTGACGTTCTGCTCGAAGGAGGAAAAAACAATCTCACTGGTTGCCGTGAAATTTAGTTTAGTCTAAAATATGTCTGTTCAATGACCTTATGCACCCCTCACTGTAATCCAGAATTGCCAGGCAAGTCGAGTAATTAGTTGTGCAGAATGAAATAACTTTAAATCCTTGCATTGAGTAATGACCTAGAAAAATCACTTAAGCTATACAATAGAAAAGACTCAAAACATCTGGCTTCAGTTTTACTTCCATAGCTCTGTCCCATTTGATTAAGAACCAGACTCGCCCCCATCCCTTCAGAGAGCCTGGCTGTTGGTTGCTGCCCAGAACACGTTTGCAGCTTAGTTGCTGCTACCCTAAGAAATGATAACTTCTCATAAACCAGCACCTGCACAGCAGTTGTTCTGCAAGCACCGTGTGTGTTTGATAAACCAGCGACTGGTGTCTGCTTAAAGAGCTGCTTCCCATCATCTGAGATGAGCCCCAGCAATAAAATCCTTCACCCAGCACAGCAAACCCAGCTGGGTGGTGGGACCAGGGGAGAACCTGCATGTTTCTTATGGATGATTTGAATTCTGAGTAGCAAATTGGTTAGTTCTCCTTTGGCTCCACCTAAATACACTGCTTCTGATTGGGTTTATTTGCAGCATTTATCAAAAGTAGCCAAAATAATAGGTAAATCCACCTAGCAGCCCTTCTACATGTAGATGTGGCTCTTGGGGATATGGTTTAGTGGTGGACTCGGCAGTGCTGAGTTAACAGTTGGATTCAATGATCTTAAAGGTCTTTTCCAACCTAAATGATTATATGATTCTACCAGCCCCAGCAAATGTGTCACCTCTCCAGCAGGGCAGAGCTGAGAAAAGCCCCTCAGTGGTGGGGATGATGAGGGATGTGGGTGAGGAAGCTTTCAGCCAGGCTTACACATGCTGTTATGGAGCATTTAGTGCCAGTGAATTTGGACCAGCCCTTTAAAACATCAGGTATCAGCTGCAGTGAAAAGATACTGCCCTTGTGGGAGTATCAGCATGAACTAAGGTAGAAACTCCAGTATTTGTTTATGAGGTGGGTAGGGAAGCGTCAGATAAAGTTACATGAGGCCTGCCAAGGAGATCAGATTTATCCTCCTAACCCGATGGCATAAAAGGAGTCTCGTAGCCATTGTGTTCCCAAGTTGAATTCCCAGTGGCTGTAAAACGCAATCTGCCACCAAAGGGAGGAGATAAAGCGTTTTTAATAAGAAAACGAGCAGTTTGCAATGCGCTTTTAATTGGATCAATTTCTCCTTTATTACACAATCTTTAAAGCTCAAATACATATGTACGACCAGACAAGCTCTTTCTCCAGGTAGAAAGCAGAAGCCAAACTATTTCATCACGATCCTTAATGACTCCAGTTCATCTTGTTTGGCAAATGATCACAACACTGGAGGGGAGGGAACCATGGTGAGAAATACAGCTCTGCAAAACCACCTCACAGTCACCGTTGTGTTCTGTCAGGGGATGTGTGTACCCTGGGTGAGGGACAACAGGTTTTCAGGTTCTCTTTTTACCCCTTTTCTGCTTGAAAGTCAAGAGCAGACAAAGAGCTGCAGGCAACACGCAGCACCCCAAGGTGCCGATCACAGTGTCCTGCCCCAGCAGTGCCTCGCAGGGTGGTGTGATTCTTCTTGGATCTCTGAGTGAGAAACAGATGACAGATGCTTTCTTTGAACTGTGTAACCAGCAACAGGCTGGAGGAACCAACTGCTCAGTCTACTGGACCAGCTTTTATGTCCCTTCAAGCACTCCAGGAGATGTTATTGCTGGTAGTGTGATGTTTATTGCAAAAAAAAAAAAAAAAAAGCTTAAATAGATCCATGCGAACTGAAAATGACAGAGGTACATATTAGCATAGATAATATTGCTTCAATTATTCAGGTTCATTGTAGCTTCCTGCTTGGAGCAGTTCTTAAGAACAGGAGAAATGTTGAAAAGAGATCAGTAGGAGAGGAACTGCTATTGCTGTAACACTGGAAAAAACGCCTTGAGTTACAACGTAATTAACTGCAGAAAGGCCTTGTAATAGTTGTCATCTCCCCAAAACATACATTCAAGGTGAGATCAGCTCCCCAGATTGCTGTAGCATATCTCAGGCAACTGCCCCTCTCACCCAAAAAAGAGAAGCAGAGACTGCAAATCCTGATGTGCAAGTTGGCAGCTTCAGCAAACACAGGAGCAGCGCAGGAGGGAAGGGGTTTAGCATAGTATCATTATAGAGCCATGGAATGGTTTGTGTTGGAAAGGACCTTAAAGCTCATCCAGTCCCAACCCCTGCCACAGGCAGTGCAACTTTCCACTAGAGCAGGTTGCTCCAAGCCCCTGTGTCCAACCTGGCCTTGAACACTGCCAGGGATGGGGCAGCCACAGCTTCTCTGGGCACCCTGTGCCAGCGCCTCAGCACCCTCACAGGGAAGAGCTTCTGCCTAATATCTAACATCAATCTCCCCTATTTAAAACCAGTCCCCCTTGTCCTAGCCATGTAGTGCATGTAGGGTTCAGTTTCCGTGGGCTCTCTCAGCACCAGCTCCCATGGGAGTGTCTTAGCTCCTGCTCCCTTCTCCACAACATCTTTCCATTGTGAGAGACAGTAAGAGAAACAGGAAGATTCCCCGATGGAGGGGCACCTCCATCACACAACTAGGTGTGTGTTGTGCTGGGCCTCTTCAGTGCTTCAGCTGAGCAGAACAGGGAAAGGAAAGAAAAAATCCCACCAAAATCTGTTCCCAGCACTTCTGCAAACCTTGTACCTGCCAAATAACAGGCTGGAGCTTGCAGTGGCTCTGAAGCTGATTTAGCTTTGCTGTTTCATTAGGGGAAAGTATATGGGAGCTTAAAAAAAAAAATCACTTGTTGCATACATGTTGTAGCACAAGTAGCAAACAATTTGCTGTAGCATGGCAGCCACCATAAAATCAGCTTTTATATTGTCTGTCATGCCCCCAAATTTGCAACTACGTTGTTGATAGCAACAAATAAACGCACTGCAGTGTAACTATTATCTGTGGCAGATTAACATGCTACCACTGTGCCCTATTTAAATGCATCTTTCCTTCAATAAGCTATTCTGGGCAAGCAGCACCACACTGAGGTACACATTTATCAGCCAGGAGAGTAGCACTGTGGGGGCCTTGGTTCACACAGCTGCAGTTTTGTGCTTCATTTGGCCCAAAGCCGTGATGAACATGAACTCTGAAGCCTGCTGGTGCTGTAACAAAAGGTATGTGAGGAATGCAGTGTTCTGCTGTGCAAGGGTGAAAAAAAAAAGCAGCAGTGCATCAATGGATGTGGTTCCAAGTATTAAAGAAAGTAAACAGCCCCCCCCGTCCTCATCTTGGCAGCAAGCAACTTGCAGGTACAAAGTGCAGATGAGTGGAAGCCTGTTGCTAAATGGAAAAGTCTGGAATGCAGAATAATGAAGTGCAGGTGAATGTACAATATGTTACAGTGAATCTCATTTACTACAGTCTTATTCCCCCAGCCCTTCCTCCCCCCCCCCCCCAACC